ATAATCCGGAATTAAAACTTGCATAAAATCATAGAAAATGGTTCATAAATCCCACATAGGATTCAAAATAAAATCCTAGAAATAAGAAATTTAGCTACTCATGATTAAAGGAAAAACGCAAATAAAATAAATCATAAACGATAAATCTTTGCTTGGAGTCTTCGAATTCTTCGTCTTCGTTATTGCTTTGTTGCTCTTGAAATTACCTAAAAGATGGATCCCCAATTGTGTGCTTGGCTTGGTCTTATATAGGGTGAAAAACTTGGGGAAGAAGGCAGTTTCCTTGTGCAATTAAAATCCCTTTACTGCGCTGCCTCGTGGTCTCGGACGGCCCTCCCATATTTTGAACTAAAACTCGGACGGCCGTCCGAGCTTTAAGTCTTCAGAATTTTGATTTTTTCACTTTCGGCCCATATTTTCTCCAAAATTGTAGTTTTTACCCCATACTTTTCCAATTCTTCAATTTGTACCTAAAATACAATAAATCAACTTTTTAACCACCAATTATCGTTAAAACGCACCAAAAGCTCAAATAAAAAGGTACGATAAAGTGTAAAAATATACACTTAACACGCACATAGAATTATCTTGCCCAAAAAAAGGAATACTCGAATATCCCATTAAGAAAATACTACTCACTAAAAATAGATCTAAACGCACATTAGATGTACATGTATGAGTCAACGAAAAACATGCGCATGCATGTAATAGATAAATGATGTTTGTTAAGGTGTATCTTTATATTCCCTTAAATACAACTCTTAAAATACTTCTTCGTACACGATATTGCAAGTAGCATAGGACAAAAATTTAAAATCAAGATTTAATCAGATAAAAGCAAGCCTGGGATTTTATTTCCCCCCCATGAGATTATTACTCCCCAATCCCTTTAATTATGCAAGTAATTAACTCGGATTATTAACCTGAGATGCTAAATTAATCATAACCCGCTTCCGCGTGTATTACGATTCTAATACTCTAGATTCAATTTATGTATTCCTACGCAATTAATTCTAGAACACAACATTAAGCATAAATCTCAATAATGACTACCTAAGAGATTAAATATATTCCTATTCCTATGTTAATACCGCAAAGGTTCTTCTACCACAATTCTAATTATTAACCCTATCTTCCGATTCATGCGATTAGCAATCACATAAAAGCACATAAAGTGACCAGTTTCATGAACTTAATAAAACAAGTAGAAGAAATAATCCGGATTTAAAACTTGCATAAAATCATAGAATTGGGTTCATAAATCCCACATAGGGTTCGAAATAATATCCTTGAAATTAAAGACTTAGCTACTCGTCATTCTTACGATAAAGAAAATAAAATAAATAAATTAAATAAGAAAAACTGTGCTTGAGTCTTTGTTGATCTTCTTTGCTCTTGAATTTGTGTCAAAAGATGGATCCCCAATTGTGTGCTTCACTTGATCTTATATAGGGTGGAAAACTTGGAGAAGAAGGTAGTTTCCTCACTAAAAAAAAGATGTTTTAAATAACAAAACAAAGGTAACGATTCGATTATTCGTCACAAGAAATGATTTCTTGTAACGAAAGCCGGATATTGTCACGCAAAACTCAATTTCTGGTAACGAAACGAAAGATTTGTTACGAAAAGAGAATTTTCGTTACAAAAGGTCCAATTTTCGGTAACAAGAGAAAAGCGTAGTTACATAAAATAAATAATCGTTACCAAAAGAATTCTTTTTCGTGACAAAAAAATAACATTCATTACTAATAAGGGGATTTCATCGTTCTCACAAATACGATAGCAAGGGGAAAACCCAAACCCAGCCAAAAATTGCTCCCAGCCCTGACACCTTCCATTGATTTTTTTCGTTTCTTTGCAATTATTTTTCCAAATTTTGAGATCTCTGTCGATTATTTGATTCCCCGTCTCTGTAATTTTCGCAATTAGGTTTCGATTCTGTTCAAGCCAACCTCCGGCGAATCGTCTCAATTAGGTTTCGATTATGTTCAAACCAAGCTCCGGCGAATTGTCTCCGGCCGCGAACAGCTCAAAATCGCCTTCGATCCGCTCCATTGCCAGATTAGAACTGGTTTGCTCGAGGTATAATTCCAATCGGCGCGTTGTTTGATTTCTCCGCCTCTTTTCAATTATTTTAGAATCATTTCTCTTCCCTTTTCAATTATTTTAAAATTTCTGAAGTTCTCGTTGTTTGATTCTCCGTCTCTATAGTTCTTATAATAAGACTCCTGATTAATTGCTTGGTGGTCACAATTCAGTGGAAATCAGTGAGCATACACGACAATTGGACCTCAAACATCTAAAATTTATGTTTCCAGGTTAGGTTTACAGGTTTATTTTATGGTTTAATAATATGTATATATGTGCATTCATAGAGATATTCAAATTCGGGATTTATTGTTGAAGGACTTGTCTGGAAAATAAAAAAAATGTTGAAGTTCTCGTTGTTTGATTCGTGTTTCATTTTGGAATTCTGTTATTTATAATCCGGGAACTTGGCGGGGCAACGACATGTTAAAATTTGTGTGAATTGGTTCGTTCTTTAATGGTATCTTCCGTTGCACCTTAAATGTGTTTGTGTTTTTCTCTTTACAGTTATTTATGGGATAAATAGAATTGGTTCGTTCTTTGTATTACAGTACTACATTCTGTTTTCCATCATAAGGGCAATCTGGGTTTTGTATGTTTTACTTGGCATTTTACTCTTAACAGTATAAAGCTTTACTCTCATGTAGGCTTTCATATGCCGTCCATTATACGTGCAAGAGTAATGAAAATGAATCTTTGCATAATTCTATATTTATATTCCTTTCCCTGGAGCCTATTTTATCTATTGCATGGATTCTGTATTAGTTGATTGTAAAGTTTTGCACGAGTTTGAGCTTTCGTTCGTCTTTTTGTTTGCATTTATATTTCAAATCAATTGCTAATAGAAAAGGAAGTTCTTCTATTATGCTATTACAACATTGTCTCTCAATTGATTAGCCTTTAAGCATTTCTCTGCCATTGCACAACTTGTAACACTAATTGTGTGGTTACTGCAGATTGAGATTATATACAACTTCGGGCTGAGGACAATGACTAAGTAGGGTCATCATCACTGAAAAATAACAAGAGGTCAGTAACTTGAAATTTTACAACTCTTTTCATTGTTTTCGTCTTTGCAAGGACTCAAAAAGGATATAATATTAAACTGGAATTCCAACGGAATAGTCTTGGAAATTTAAATGGATCAACATTGTTATGTGTTTGTTGGGTGATTATGCTTCTTGAGATATAGAATAATGTGCAAATCTTGTTCATATGCGGTTACTTATTATTTTTATTAGCATTCATTACAGAACATATATATAAAACGGAGTTGATGTGAAGAAATACAAGGTGTACGAGAAGAGACGAAGGAGTTGATTATAATGTAAGTAAATATTGACATTCAATTATACGATCTCATGATAATATACATATTTTCCTAAATTTTATTTTGTTCTATGTATAGCGTTTATTCTTAAAATTGTTCATGTGTCTTGATGATTTAACAACATTAAACCATCTTGTATTTACAGGTTATTGGAGTAAATACGATAGACAGTGCGGTATGAAGTTTTAGAACTTAGCTTGAATTTTGATCATATTAGCCATACACTTTGAAATATATTGCTACATGTCATCTTATTTTACTTTTGAAACTTATATATTTTCTATTGAAAGATGAATTTTTTTTTTTTCTAGTTGGGATATATTTTTTTTAATTGTATATATGATTTTTGAGGCAATTTATACAACTTTATTTCAGGTTTACAAGCCATTATCGAAAACTATATGAAAATATAAATATCATAATAATTATAATAATTATTATTACTTATTGTCATAGTATTTGTGACAAAATTATGATATATATATAAGGCTAAAATAATATAATAATTATGGGCATTTGCGAGGACTAGTTTGTCATAATAAGTACTTGTGACAAATTTTATTACTAAAAATATATATCAAATAATATTCAAAATTTGACTATTGGTAACGAATGTTGTTTTTGTAACGACATAAAATAGTATTGGTAAGGATCATGTTGTTACCATAGATTACGATATTGTAACGAACCAACTTTAGTTACCAATGTATTGGAAACGATTACAAAAAACTTGTCACCAAAACTTTTAGCGTCGAGCTTTAGACGACAATACAAAGGTAACAAATTCGTCGTTACTAAAACTTTTAGTGACAAAAAAAGCACCTATTGTGACGAATATTTTCCTCACCAGAAGTGCATTTTCTTGTAGTGCCTTGTGTAATTAGAATTCTTTTACTGCGCCTCTACGTCTTATCGGACGACCGTCCTGATTTGCAGTTCAAATTCCAGATGGTCGTCTCAATTCCAGAGACTTTGTTCTCTCATGAAAATATTCGGACGGCTGTCCGAAATCCTAGTGTATTTCTCGGACGGCCGTCTGGGCTCTTATTCTTCAGATTTTTGACTTCTTCACTTTTCGCCCATATTTTCTCCAAATTGCAGTTTTGACCCCCTATTTATCTAATTTTTCAATTTGTACCTAAAACACAATAAATCAACATTTTAAGCATCAATCATCAATAAAATACATCAAAAGCTCCAATTAAAAGATATGATTAAGTGTAAAAATATACACGTAACACACCCCCTAAACTTGAACTTTTGCTTGTCCTCAAGCAAAATCTACTCATAAGCAAATAACTCAACTACAACATCTCATTACATAGATTAATGATCAACTTCACGTTTTCAGAACTTTTAATTATAATGACAATTCTTAGGCATTCGCAAGCTCAAAATTCGAAAGCACTCACTCACTTATTGTTGCCAAAAACCACAAATCATGCAATAGTTTCAAGCATCCAATATTTGTAAACATTAGTGATAGGTTGGGTTTATATAACTTTAGTCCTTAAGATTTCTTGATGGTTGGTTTAGGATTTCTAGTATTTACTTTTTTAGCCCTCTCTTTGGGTCTTTTTGTAATAGGGCGCTTTCTATCCCAGTTTTATTCCTTACGATTTGGGGATATTTTTTTCCTTGTGTGGGCCCACAAGGTTTTTAACAAGGCCCCTTGTATTTTCAAAAGTATATAATGGAATAAAAAAAATTGGCCAAAAAAAAAAAAAACAAATTGAGCCAAAATATTATCCTGATATTATTTATCGAGTATTTAAGATGAAGAGCTAATTGCATAGAACCCCTGTGTAATTTCAAATTGCTAAAAAAGCTCTCGTATTAAAAAAAATTAGCACATACCCCCTATATTATCTTTTACAGAGCACACTGGCCATTTCTTCAAAATTGGCTGTTGACTTAGATGCAATGACTAATTTACCCTTACAAAGGAAAAAATGAAATTAAAAAAAAAAAGAAAAAGGAAAAAAGAAAAACGACCACGAAAGGGGCTGCAAAAGAATGAAAAAGAAGATGATATTTCTTCTTTTAAATCATCAAGAACACTTTTATCTTCTTCGATTTCTATTTTTTTCAGTATTAATGCCTAACAACTCGCCAGATTCAAAGTGTTTCCGTTCAATTTGTCCGGAAAACACTTGCCCCTATCGAATCTACTTCGAACCAAATCCCCACCTTTAGAAATCGCCGGAAGATTTAGCCGGATTACATCTGTCCCCGTCGAAACTTGATACGCGTAAAGCCTACGTATGAAAAACCGCAAGTGTACAGTATCGCGTTTTGTAGAATATTGAATTCCAGATATCGATCCACAAAGGCTCTTCTACCACAGTTCTAATTATTAACCCGATCTTCCGATTCATGCGATTAACAATAACATAAAAGTAAATAAGGTGATCAAATTCATGAACTTAATAAAACAAGTAGAAGAAATAATCCGGAATTGAAACTTGCCTAAAATCATAGAATTGGGTTCATAAATCCCACATAGGGTTCCAAATAAAATCCTAGAAACTAAAGACTTAGCTACTCGTGATTCTTATGAAAAAGAAAATAAAATAAATAAATTAAATAAGAAAAACTATGCTTGAGTCTTCGTTGATCTTCGTTCCTCGCGTTTTGTGGTGTAAAAAATTTCGTCCTTATGGTGTAGAGACTTGTTGCTTTTATAGGCTTTTTTGGATAAGGAAGTAGTGGAAACCTAATAGGAATCAATTTCCGCCACTTTCCCCATCAGGATTTGTTCTTCTATTTTCGCCATATTGGAGTCCGAATTTTGGAATGTTGCGTGAATAAGAATTGTAGCCGTTGAAATTAGCTTTACAATGCAGCCAAACTCAGCTGATTTGGAGTTTGTATGAGAGAGATATGCTCGAAATGGTGGACATTGCCAAAGTTGTGGCGAGATTCCTTCTTCTAATTTGATTTATTTCCTTATTTGCAACTTTTTCCTTTCTTTTTGATATTTTTTCCTTCATGGACACTTAATTCTCGTTTTTCACCTACAAAACACGAAATCAATCAATTAAAGCACAAATATAATTAAATCTAAACAAAAGATACACGTAAAATAAACATATTGAGCGTAAAATATACACTCAACAACAACGTCATTTTATCAGTTTAATTATACGAATGACAACGTTTTATATATATATATATATATATATATATATATATATATATATATTATATATATATATATATATATATATATATATATATATATATATATATATGTGGGAAATGAGGGATACCCCTAGTTTTGAAAATATATATGGATAGGTCATATGAATTTTTCTTTCATAGTCAAAAATCCAAATTCTAATCTTAATTTGACAGACCCTCTGGACAAATTGAAATACCTATTTCACCATTTTAATTTCAATTCAGACCCCAACCCCTAGCATTTTCTCCCACTCCCACTCCCACATCTCTCTCTCTCCCTCCCTCCCTGGTAAATATTGGATTTATTTGTTTTCAAGACAAGGAACATCTCATTATTCTCAATTCATATATTTTGTTAATTTATAACACTTCTAATTTACTTAACAATGATATTGATGGAGGATTAGATATATTTCAAAAAACAATAGTAAGAAAAATTGCATTTATCATTCAAGTTACATACTCTACATATGTACCAATTACAAAGAAGTATTAATATATATTAGTTATTAATATGTCGAAGATTTTGAGGCACATAGTGCTTAAACCAAACATCTTTGCCTCTTATATCACTCTTACAACCTCGGTGTTGTCCATTATTATTCTCGGCAAATCAAATATCTTGAAAGGGATATTTTCGAACTCCTGTGGTCGGCGCACATACACGTGCACTTGAAATTACCTAGTAAAATGGTTGGAAATCTCCCGCCATGTGAGAGCTAGGTGCACCGCTCGAGAAGGTCATGAACACCGACCTACCGTTTTGCAATGCAAGTTCATTTGTTGTTATATAAGGTCTTGCATTTGAGTTCAATGGATTCATTTTCACGGTAGTGCAGTGGAGTGGTGGCGGAGTGGTGGTAGTGGCTTGATATATATGGCAGAGGTGGAGGAGAAATCTAGTGCTTATTATTTATACTTTATAGTAAAATTATTGGGGATTATATATATAATTAGATGGTGCAGATTTTGTGTAACAAATATTGATAATTGTTTAATGTTTGAAATGGTTACTAAATTACCTAGATTTTTCTTCAATGAGTTTCATTGACTGCCAATGGATGGGTCTTTGAGATGCCACATTTGGTGAAATACACCTAATAATTATTAATCGTTGATGTGGTGAAATAACTTCCCACTAAGCACACATATACATGAATGTGTGTGTGTGTAGATCAACGATTAATAATCACCCGGTGTATTTCACCGAGTGTAGCATCAAACAAACCCAATGGTAGTATTTGCCTACTGCTTAATTGGAAAATGTGTAATAATGGATTATGTAGTTAATACTGAAGGTGCAAAAAAAAAAGTGATGAAGCTTGTGCTAAAAATTACTGAGAAAAAAAGAAATTGATATTGTGTTGTTATTGCGCTTAATATTCTACGTAAGTGCGTACATTTTGCACTCGAATACATTTTAAATTTGAAACGATTAATAACCACTTAAGCGCAATAACCCCTCATAATTTGCGCTACTATATCGAATAGACTAAGTAGCGTACATACACCCATACTTTTGATTTATACGTACGTTGATTAATTTTGATGATAACAAGGCGCAATAACAACTCACAATATGCGCTAGTATTGCGCATAAACTACGTACATATATCTATTTTCCTAATTGTATAAGTTATGTGAATGTATATAATCCGATGAAAATTATAAATATGAAGCAATAAATAACCAAGCGATATAAGTTGCGGCACTATATTGCAAATAATTATCTACGATACTCATCGACTTTGAATTATATATACATTGATGAATATTTTTAAGAAAAATCCATTTGAGTTTGGTTTGTTAATATTAAGAACAAACCTCGAACATATATATTCGATCTTCTCTCATTATATAAGATATGAAACTCGACAGAACTTAATTTTGTTGATCAATAAAATTCTATAAAAAGGACTATTAATACATTTATGATTGACTCGTGAGTTTATAATAAATAAGTAAAAATTTGGGTTGCTAAGTTCTATAAAAAGGACCATAATATAATTACATTTAAAAGCTCAAGTTGAGTATTTTACATTTGTGACTAACTCCTAATAATAAATAAAAACTGGGTTGCTCGATCTCTGGCTTTTGCCAAGACAACTCTTCCAATTTGTTGTCAACTTTTTTACATTATATTTGTCGTAGTAATAAAATATATATAATATCCAATTGGGCCAAATCGATCTCTT